TGGAGAATGTGTTTGTTATTGTTATAGGTCTGTAGTTATTTGGATCTGTTTTGTTTCCTGTTTTGAAAATTGGTTTTATTGTAGCCATTTTAAGACACGATGGAAATACACCACATTCTATGTATCTATTCATTAAAACAGCAAGTAGTGGAGCTATTATATTTATTATTTTTTTAGTGATTCTTGCTGTTATCTTGTCTTCGCCAGGTGCAGCGTTATTTTTCAGATTTTCAACAATTTTTTTTATTTCTTTCTCATCTGTTAATTCAAAAATTTGGATTTTGTTTTTAGGTGATATTGATGGTTTATAGTTGCAATGATCCATTTTCTTTTGTAGTTTCATACCTATTTCAGCAAAATGTTTGTTGAGATACTCCGCAATGTCTTCCTTTTCTGTAAGAAATATATTTTTATCTTTATGCTGTATTTTTTCAATATTTTCTTTATATTCGTTTTTATTTTTTCCTCCTCCTAATGTTTTATTTATTAGTTCCCATATTTTTCGAGAGTCACTTTCACATTTTTTTGTTTCTTCTGAATAGTATTGTCTTTTTGCTTTGTAGATCATATTTTTTATATCTTTTTTTATATTATTATATTTCATTTTTATGGCATTATGTTTGCTTACTTCATTTATATTGCATTTCTTTAAATTATTGTAGAATTTGTTTCTGTATTTCATTAAGTTAATAATTTCTTCTGTTATCCAGGTATCTTCTCTGGCTCTTATTGTTTCTTTGATTTTATTTTCTTTTGCTGCATCTTGTATAATTTTTATTAAATCCTCTAATTGGTCCACTATTTTAGAGTCTAACTTACAAGTTATTGTCTTTTCTAATCCTTCTAAATCTATGCTATATCTAATTATTTTATGCATTTTTGGTTTGATTCTCGGCGTATTTTGTATAAATACTGTTATCATTTTGTGATCAGATATTTCTGTGTCTTCTATTTCTATATTAATCTTCTTTTTATAATTTGATATAACATGGTCAATTATTGATTTAGTGTTTTGAGTCTCCCTTGTGGCGTATTGGCTATCTATATTATTTATTATTTTGTATCCTGATGATTCTATAATATCTTTGTAACAATTTGATATATTATTGTTTGGAATTATATCTAAATTCATATCACCTATTATTATTGTATTTTTACCGTTTTCTTCCATTTTTTTTTCTATTAAATTTATCAGATCTTGTTTATTATTATTCGGAGGGTTGTAAATAACAATAAACTTTATAACAGGGTTCATATTTGTTACTTCTATTTCCAGGAGGTTTATATTATTTTTATTATTATTTTCTATGACAGTACAGTTTAGTTCATTTCTTACAAATATCGCTATTCCTCCTCCTCTTTTCTTTTCTCTGCAGTTGTAAAAACCTCTAAAATTTTTTAAATTAAAGTATCCTTCTTCTTCTTGGTATATCCAAGTTTCTGTTAATATTAAAATTTGGCAATTTTCATTTTTATGCATAATTATTTCTAAGTCATCTATTTTATTTCTTAAGCTTCTTATATTGAAATACTTAATCTCTATTTTCTTGTTATTGCTATTATATTTATTCATTTTCTTGAATTTGTCCATTGTAATTCGTCGACATTCTTACCATTTTGGCTCTGTGTTGATAACATGAACATTCCGTTTCATTTGCATTATGCACCGTATTAAAATTTGATTTGTATTTTACATTGGCATTTGTGCAGTTTATGCATTTCTTAGATTTGCTCTTACAATCTCTTGTGTTATGCTCATCCGCACAGTTTGCACAGAACGTCTTGTTTTTGCATTCTACTGCCCTGTGTCCATATGCCTGACAGTTATAACATCTTTTTATGTTTAAATCTTCTATTATATGAGCTGTCCTCCATCCTAGATTTACATTATTTTCTAACAATTTTTCGTATGTTTTGCCCGATGTTTCGATATATGTAATCCAATTTTCTGTTTTTCGTGATTTCCTTTGGTATATTAGTTTAATTTGATCTGTGTTATTTATATTGTAATTATATTCTATCATTTCATTTATCAATTCTGTGCCGTCCATATATTGCCTTGGAGCATTTGTTATAACAAGTCGCGGATTTCTTTGTTTCTTTATATATATTTCGTATTCGCTTCCAATTTTTTGTATCATATGTTCTGCTAATGTTTTTGTTCCTCAATTGTTGAGGCCTTAATTATTAACCCCCCGCTACTAATGTTGTTAATTGATCTTACTTTTGCTTTTACGTTTTTTGGATTTATGTTTTTCTCAATATAGTTTCTAGTTTCATAGCTGTTCTGTTTATTCTTTGGTTTTACAATTATTGGCGGCATATTTGGGTTTATTATGTCTTTATTTTTATAATTTTTATTATTATTATTTTCTGTGGCATTATTTTTACATATTGTAGCATAACTAGATCTTGCATCTTTAATTATTTTAATATCATTCTTTAAAGTTTTAAGCTCATTTACTATTTCTTTCAAATTACTTTCATGTGAATATCTTACCTCATTTTTTTTTGAGCATATGTCACAAAACCATTTTATATTGTTACTTGTGCTGATAACTTTATATTGTTCGTTAGTAACTTTCGCACACTTTTTGTGGAACCAACCTTTGCATTCACCTTCACATCCAATAATGTTTTTTCCATTAACATCAATATTACATATACTGCAACATTTTGGATCTTCTACATCTTCCGCCATCTTATCGATCCGATATTTCGGTTTATATGTTATACAAATTAGCAATAAATTGCTAAAATCGTTTTAACGGTTTTTGACATGAAGTTTTTAATTCAAAAAAACAAAAGCTTTTTGATTTTTCAATAGTATATATATATATATATATATACTCTAGAAGTTAATAAATATATCTGAACTTTGAGTAAATAGTTTTTATTAGAAATCCTTGTCTGTTAACAGTTATGATCAACAATCAAAATTTGCAAAGTTTCAATATCACCAATTCTTCATAAGACTAGAGAGAACTTATTAAATTTAAAAAGTAATTGATTGTGTTAATTTTACATTTCTGAAAATAGACATCAAACGATAAGAATGGTATATGTGATATGATATATACGAATATAATTACAGATAGTTATATAGAAAGTAAAATAAGAGATTTTGAATTTAATATCAAAAAGCATGAAAATATAAAAGTATTATTTTTAAAAAAATATTATGTACAATATAACAAAGATAATGTGAATGAATTATTATATCAATTTGTTCAATCTTTAAATAAATAAATTATATTCATAAATAATGAATAAAATAGACCAACAAAGAAAAAATTATATCACCACATATAACTGCATTTAAGTATACAATCAATTGCAATTACCTACACAAAACGACTCTTCAATTCAATACTTTTATTGCTGCCTATAATATATCAAAGACAATATATTAAAAATGACTACATATTAAATAGTAGATTAATGAAATTAATATTGCATCTGTACTTCGTTCCTGCACTAGGTTTTATAATTTAATGCATTATAAAAATAACTATTAACATTGAAAAGTAGTAATTCATTTCTATTTTGGTTTTTTATCACTGATTTCACGCAGTTTTTTGTATTCCTCCTTCACATTGTCTATGAACGATTTAATAAAATAGAATTTTCGTATTGGATTATTTGCCAGCTTCTCAGTGTTGTCACCTAAAATTGATTTTGATCTATACATTAGCGAAATGGCTAACTGCGCAGCTCTTCGAACTGGATAAGATTCAGACAACTTCTGAACTAAACGTTCGTTATTCAGCAAATAATTCATGAGAGATCGCAGAGGCATTTTAAACAATTTATATTTTCATTGAATCAAATGTGTACATAGTCCTGTATTTGTGCAAAAGCTCTTGCTTAAGTTTTAATTGTTTCCTAAGTGTTTCTAAATATTGAAGTTGTTCCTCTTTATTATAATCAATTCCAGGTAGCTGAGTAACTTGACTTCGAATTTTTTCTAACTTCTTTTGTAAGTCTAATACCTTCACACTGCAATCTTGTGATTCTCTGGTTTTGCCAGCGCTATCATGTGGATCTCTTTCAACACTAAAATCAAACAATAGGGATTAAATCTCATGAAGGTGATTGTTTATAATTAATGTTTAGTTCAAACCTTCGTATGATATCATATATAGTGGGCAATATGTCAATTTCTATTTGATCAACGGTAAATGAATTAGAATTTGTTTGTGGTTCAGTCAGTTCAGATGAGATTGATTCCATATTAAGTACAAGAACTAACCTTTGTAAACGACATTAATAAGCAAGTAATTATTTTAAATGAAGCGAATTGAAATGTTAGCTACAATACTTAAATTAAATCAATTAATTTAAAAACATATATAAGATGCATACCAAATCGAAACTTGTCAAAAAGTATAGGCGACAGCTCACGGATTCTAAATGACATGAAATTCGTACGTATTGTAATATAACAAGTGTTGCCAATCACAACGAACAATTTTTAGAAATTCAAATACAAATTTTTTTTTACTGATAATTTACTTTTCACTTGATTTTTTTTAAGCGCCATAATTAATGATTGTCATAAAACGTTCCAAATAAAAATTACACAATTATACTTAATTATTAAGAAAAAGCCTTTGCATGGAGTATACATACACAATATCCTTAATGTAACGTAAAGTTTGCGCTTAATGGGCAAAAAGTCCCATTACATTTTTGCAGATAAAAACAATTGATTATGAGTGATATAAGTAATATATATTTTAATATAAATGTAGTATAAAAATAGTATGAGATCAAATACATAAGTCTATTAAAAAGTCAAGTTAACATACTGCTTCAAATCATGCTATAAAAATATACATAATACATATACGAGTACGATTATAATAATTATAAGTATACGATTATAGTAAATATGAGTATTTCTTAATAATAAAATAATTCATTCTATCTTGCAAAAATTAGAAATATCTCATTAAAATATTCAAGTTTTGCTTTTATTGTGAAGAAGAAAAATTTTGTTATAGATTATTTTGCAAGTATTTCAGCATTACTTGCATAGCTTGTAGTAAAGTAAATTCTAGATCAAAACAGTTCCCTCCTGTTGCATAATAAGAGTCTAATCCTTGGTATTTTGGAAAATATCCCTAAAATATAAATTTTGCATATATTAAAATTTACTTTAATATTTTAAACTATGTTATAAGACTAACCATGCAGTTATACATATATCTATTTCCATCTAGATGGTAAATGTATCTAAATTCAGGAACACATAAGTTTTTCGATTGACATGTTGTCAATATTTTTTGTAAAGTGTGCAAGCTCTCAGGATATTTAAAACAAAATTGGTAGAGTTCCATACAATTCCAATTTTGCCATTCTTGATGTATATGATGATTTTTATCTATGTGGTTAGAATTGAGCTTATCTAAAACAGTTATAGCCTGATTTTCCAAACTCAAGTTAGTCATATCATTGATTAAATAATCATCATTTGCATAAGTGTTATTTCCCTTTGTGTTCAAATATATGTTTGTTGATTGTGAAGTTAATTGTTTAGAAGTTTTCTGCTCAAGTCTTTTTGCTGCTATTACTTGACGTCTGAAAACAATTTTGATCTAATAATGTGCTAATTATGTAATATGCACATAAAAATATATAATGAAACAAAACAAAATATTTACCTTGGAGAATCCGGTTTAGCCCATTCTATTCTTATGATTCGTTGTGCAACCCTGATACCTGTTAACAATTAATTTTTTAATAAATGTATATAATATTTCAAAAATAATATATTACTCACCATCAAGTTTCTCTAGTACCTCTTGCGCAACTTCTCTTGAGACGAAATGTGCAAAGGCATAACATTTGACTTTCCTTAAGCGATTTAAAAATGTTTCATTATTATTAAGTATAGGCAAAATTAATTTCTTAAGATCATATTCAGTCATTTCAAGCGGCAAATTCTGGAAGTAGAGAACTTTCACCTAGATATCATAATAATCATTATATAATGTGCAACAACAAAAAATAGAAATTAAGATTCAGAAAAAATACAACCTGGGACATAATTTTCTTATTAACATTGTATTCAGGTTGAGCCCAACCAATTGAAAGACATGTGTTCCACAATCTGAAATTGTTTGCATTAGATGATAACAATTGCCAAATTGTCACAAATTAATTATTAGATAACTCACCGCACACCTCCAGGAAGCATGCTACGTCTAGCAATAGCAGCTTTTCTATGCGATTCAAATTCAACAAATGCATAACCACGATTAAGCATAGGATCTCGATCATTAGGTGGTAATATGACTTCAACTACACCATCAGCAAGAGCTGCCAATTCATCGAATATTTCTGGTGCAGTCACAAACGGTGGAATATGACCCAAAAACAAACGCCTGTTATCAGCAGATCTCATGACTTTCATACCACCATTGCAACCGACAAAAGGATACCTTATATATGGAACATATTATTATCTGGTTGTTTGAAATCATTAGTCATGCAATATCAATTTGTTCTGTGGAGACATTATTAAGCCTTACCTATTTAATTTCAAAATAGCCTCATCAGCTTCTTCCTCAGATGAGAATTTCACAAACCCATAGCCCCTATTATATCCAGAAAAGTTAAGCATAAGCCTTAACTCATAAATCTTTCCAACTTGGCTGAATATTGGAACAAGTTTATCTTCGAAAACTGTGCACGGTATATTTGTAAAATAAACTTCACATCCTGTAAATAAATGTTGCACTTATCATAATTATGTGACATGATATTACATGTTTGTCAAGAGTAACAATACATCCATTACACAATATTCTTCATTGGTAATCGATAATTAAATGATTTTAAACTTTTTACCTCTATCTGGTTCTGGTCCAGTCCAATCAGGAGGTGGTCCAAAACACCTCTGCCCATTTTTTTGAATAATCTGGCATCCAGTTTTGTTAATTAAGTTAATGAGTCTTGTGGTTACATCATCGTCATTGATATCCTGAAATGGAATTTGCTTGCTTGTATTAAAAGGTTAAAAAAATATAAAATAATGAAATGGACTTACTTGTAAACAAGAATTGTTATTTTCATTCTCTGATGCAGACATCATGTTAAGGTCAAATTTAGTAATGATGTACTTAGTTTTCCTAGAATAAATATATAAAATTAACTTAAATTAAAATGTTGAAATAGTTATAGTTACAAACAAGAAAACTTGAATAGTTTAAATATTTAACCTATTCAAGAAAAAAATATAATTTAAAGTGATTTATAAAGCTTAATTGACTAATTATAGAGATTAATTAACATTTTTGAATTTCATATCAGAACAGTCAAATGCCAATCAAAACTTAAACTGAATTTGACATGCAACTTCTGAGTGTCCAAGATGGTTCCATATATAACTTAGGCGCCAAATTTGAATAAAAACGCAAAAAAATCATGCTCTATTATTTAAACTTATTATATATACTATATTATTAAATTATTTTGAAAAATATATAGTATATAAAGAATATCATAGTATATAAAATATATTAAGGTATATATAAAATACCTAATTGTCAAAGATCTGTGGATTATTACACTGCGTTTTGAATACACTTATTTGTATATTATGATTATATTACAATTTATAGACATTCAATCGTTTTGAAATTAACGTTGAATTAAAGCATATAAAACAACTTGCTTTAATATCATATTTCTGAAATATGTTAAAAATTTCCCTTTAAAACAACAAAGTAAAGATGCATACATACAATTCGACCCTTACGATACCAATTAGGAAAAGTTTAAGATGCAATTTTGGATATCTTAAATTATAAAAAAATAAATTAAAACAATCCTACATAAAGTACCAGTGTTATGTTATGGTTATGTTTAATAATGAAAGGCTAGAACTTTTTTGCTCTCTATAATTTGCTCAATAGAATAAATCGCATAAAATGCCCAAAATAAATAAGTAAAATGTTTCAAAATCCAAATATTAATGATAACAATTTTAATAATAAACTTATTATTTTATCTAAAAAACATTTTTAAATTTTTTGAAAATTATCCATGCTATTTCCAAACAAAACTTTGATTGAATTGCGCTCTATCTAAAAGTTAATATTAAAAGCTAAAAGTTATAGAGAATTTTTTTTATTGATTTGGAAGTATTTGAGCTCCTGGTAGCAATAAATTAAAATGTCCATATTAAGGACCACCCTAATAATATATATGTATATATATATATATATATATATATATATATACAAGAATGTATATGAAAAGAAAAATCTAGAAACTCATGGAAACGCGAGAAGGTTATGTCGAGCTCGAAACTTAAAAAAATCCAGAAAAAAGGGAAAATTGATTGAAACTTTGTAAATGATGTATCACAAATTAAATTATATATCATAAAACTATCCCATCTAAAAAAAAATACTTATTCTATAACTAATTTTACACTAAATTTATTATAATGTATAAAATTATTATTGAAAAATGGCGTCTACATATCGCGTGCAAAATATCACAGTCGCACTAATTTCATATAATATATGAAAAAAATGTAATGTAAATCTCATGTAAATATATTTAACGTACATAAAAATATTTCATGTTTAAAATATGTTTTGCATATATATATTTTACCTATTTATCAAATTTTAATTCACGAAATTATTTACGTAAGCTACACGTTGTCGATGTAGAGAACGAATTTCTGCAAATATTTATTACTTCGCAAAAACTTTGTCACATGTCACATTTAATTTAATTTCTAACTGATGCTAATAATAATAATGCTCACTAATAATTTATAACTATTTATTTAATTTAATTTTAGATTTTAACGTAATTTTCATCACGACGTTGAGTACGAATACGTAATGCCGGCGCGCCATAACCACACACAAAAAATACGAATTTTGCAAGAAAAATAAAATTAATACCGACGTTTATGTTTTTGTTTATTAAATAAATTATTAAATTTTTTTTACAATTATTGATAAATTTAATTGTAATAATTCAAACTCACCCGTTCAAATTAGGGACACAAACAAACTGATGTACAAGTCGAGTATTTGCTCGATGCAATTTTGCATATGTGTGTATGTGTGCGTGTGGGTGTTGAATTCAACGGTTTAAAAAGTACAGGATGGTATTATTTTTTAATTAATTGCACAAAAAATTAATATATTATTTTTTTGGTTTTCTATTATTTTTTTAAGTGCATAGTAATAAAATTGAGTTTAATCAACAAAATTTTGTTTAAGTTCCAAGATAGTGCAAGCTAGGATTTGTCGGTTTTCAAAAACTGGTTTTTAAACCCGGTTTTTGGCAAAAATTATAAAATTCGAAAACCGGTTTTTTTGGCGAAAATTATGGAATTCGAAAACCGGTTTTTTTTGTGGAAACAAAATTTTTGGGAATTTTGTGTTAAACAAAGGACACGTCTAAATATCAAATCGATAGACGTTCTAAGATTTTGAAATCATATTTATTAAACAAAAAAATAATTATAATTTTTAAAATTAATTAATTAAAATTTCTCGGAATAGAAAATACTAGAGGTTTAGCTTGTTTGTTTTTAGAAACTGAATTCTCACATATGTATCTAATGAAGTGTTTTTTATTAATTTATTTTTATTTTTTTAAACTGTTACAAATTATTTTCTTAATTCAATTATTATATTTGACAAAATCCACTGAACAAACCCAAAAATGTTGTCGAAACTTATGGATTTAAAAAATTACAAAGAAAACATTCACACAATTTTTTATTGAAGTTACGCTGGATTCTAAACCTAATTAATATATCTATATATATATATTATATATATACATATATATATACATATAAAATAAATATATTAACTTCCACTTTTACTAAACAACAAACAAATGACAATTATTGCCAAACTTTATCAAATTATTATATCAAAAATAGTTGCAAAAATAAAAATATATAATGAAGAAAATTAACATGTCATAATTTAGTATTTTTTATCGCATTTTTATTATATTT